AGGACATTTTTTATAAGCTATTGGGTTTCGTTTTGTTTTGTTGTACATATTATATTAGTTAAGAAATGTTTGAAAAAAGTACACACACCGCAATATAGTTGAAATGTTTCGTTCAACAAGGACCCCCGTGGATCCGTGGTAAATGCGCTCCGTTCTATAAGGAAAGTCCGTTGGTAATCCACAATTGATCCGCCGTTATGCGCTCCGTTCTCAGGCTGGGGCACTGACACTTGCAACACAACACTCGAAAAAATAAAATAAGCTCACACAGGAGGAGTTGGTGTCGGTGTCTTGTTAGTTTTTTTTTTGGTTTTGTTGGATGTTTCTTGACTGCTGGAAACTGATGAGCAGATGATCACTTCGCGGACACTTCTGATCACGTCCGAGTATGAAACCGAACTGAACCCAAAGTTGAGCTGGATTCGACCAGCTTTCTTTGTTGAGAGGCAGAGGCTGCTGCTGCTGCTGCTGCTGCGGCTGGGGCCCGCGTCGGAGACAGCTTCGACCAACACCAAAAGACCGAAACTGAAACTGAAATTTAAACTGAAGCGAGCTGAGCGCTCAGTCGACGTCGATCGCTCTGTCGGCGTCGCAGTTGGTGTTAATGTGAAAAATGGAAAAAGAGAAAAACGAACGATACGTTTCGGTTGTGTGTGTGCGTGTGTGTGTCTCTGTCCCTCTGCCTGCCTGGCATTGAGATCGAAAGATCCTCTGGCTAGGCCGCCTGCCTGTGGTCCCCACCTGCACGGTGTCTGTGTGCCTACCTGATCGCTAGTTCGCTCGCTCTTACGCTGTCCCTGTCCCTGTCCCTGTCCCTGTCCCATTCCCTCTGACGGTCTGCCTTCTCTCTCGCTGGCCATATTGTCGCCATTACTTATGGCTCAGTTTCCTTCTCACCCAATCCGGGCCACGGCCACTCACTCAAAGAGAGCGGGAGAGGGAAATGTCTACCTGTTCTGTGCGCCTGCCCCAAAGGCTCTGTCTATGTCTATCTCTTTCACACCGCTGTCCTCCAATTGTGTTTGCATCACACTCTCCACTAGATGCCCGTTAAAAATTACAAAAAAAGGAAAAAGAGATCCCGAAGAGATCGTTGAAGAATATGCCAAAATGTTGAACATTTTGGCAAAGTTTCTAATCAAATAACAAGTTTCTAGAACATTCTCTAGTTGGGCTCTTAATTACTCTCCAACGGCTCTCATGATCGAATCGGGGAATATATATTTTTGAGAGTGTTTCCTGAGCTTCGCTCTGGCACACCTGGTGTCCAGTTATGAGGGTCATTTATGGATTGAACCAGGCTGCTACCTAGGCCCCCTCTGACTCGGATTCGGACTCGGACTCGACTCACTCCCCGCCCATGATGGCTTAAACAATTGGCAGGCTAATTAAATTAAGATTTTTTCGCTTTGTTTGCTGGCAGCATGGAATTGTGGCAGCATTGTCTCTGGCAACAGAATCCTCCTCACAGACAGGCACTCTCTCGTTGCAGGACTCGGGCGGAGGAATTGACTGGCTTTGCATCTAACCGTAAGTGGAATTGCTGGCAGCAGGAAGCAGCCGTGTCTCGCAGCGGGGCCACTCGCCTTGATTTCGCCGCGCGCCACCGGCGCAGGACCCACAGGACTCGCTGCGAGGGATACGCATATATCAAGGTGGCAGCCACCTATTGTGTGCGCTTGTCCTTTGGGAACTGTTTCGGCCGAGGCGGCAGCACAAACAGAAACAATTCGCACCCAAAGAAACAACTTCATCCGGGAATGTTGTTGGGAATGTTGTTCGGAATGTTGGGAATGGGTGTAGGTGTAGGTACGGCTGTGGCTGTATATCTCTATCGATGTACACGATTATTGCATTGATGAGCTCCTGCTGCTCCTGTCGGTACACACATTCACACACACACTCACACACACACAAAGAGTCTCTACGCAAAGAAAACGGAGAGCACCACAGGATGTCCTTTCTGTTTTACTTGCGATTCGTTCTGGACAACAAAAATATTTTGCTACAAAATTGAGTTGTTCTGTGAGGTCCACGATCGCTCTCTCCCTTTCTCTCTGTCTGAATGCATTGTGTCCTGTCATGGTGTAATTTTTTAGCGGCGTATCGAATGCTAAGGATACGCTTTAATTGCCACAACGAACACCTAGCCATCGATCTCGGTCTCGGTTTCGGTTTCGGTCTTCTGCTCGACCTCGGACCACGAGCTGGCATCATTACACGCTGCTTAGCTCCTGTCCCTCTCCTTTACCTTTGCTTAACCTCTACCTAGGCCTTCCCATAACCTTGCTGTTGTGGGTGTGTGCAACAGACGGCAGCGGCAACTGGTAGGAGTGCGAGGTGTTATTTTTTTTGCTTTCGGGGCAAGTTGTTGTGATGTTTTTTGATTATGCGTAAAATTGTTCGCTTTAATTCCCCCAGCAAGTCCCAATGCGTTGTGCCTCCCTTTGGTCAAACGGTTAGTTGCTCGATTTGCCCATTCCATTGTTTTCCGTTTATTTGTTTGTTTGTTTTCAGACGCTCATTACTATTAGCCGTGCAATTGGCATTCGTTATGGGCTTTAATCGGACGGACATCCTCAGCTCTCCCGAGTATGTAGAGAAAGAGGAAAGGAAAAGCGGAGAATATTGGGGAATATTTAATACATTTTATCACCACTCAGCAAAGGAATCCGAAACAATAAAATTAAATTAATTATTCCTCCAAAACAATTACACTTAAAGTACATAAATAAACATTCAAAAATAATTTATTATATTTCTGCGGTGCACCAAAAAAATTATATATAAAAATAGAGAAACAATTTATAAAATCAAAAATCGAATGAAAAAAGTTTGGAAAGAAGTCAAGCAACCTGATTTTTGTTCCTCTCTCAACTCACTTCTCTTACTTACTTACGCTCAACTTGTTCGCTTTTTAGCCAATGAAAAGAAGGAACAATTTTCAGCCAATCAAAAGCGAAAAGAGAAAAAGAGAACCATTGTGTTCGTGTGGCGCGCGTTTTCAGTGTGTGGGTGAGCACATCTTTGAGTGGAAGAGAGCAAGAGAGTGGCCGAGTGGTTGAGCGGCGCGGTTGATGAGTGGCTGAGAGGAGAGACGTTTCGTTGTTGTAGCAGACTCCATCCAGTTCGGGGACAGTCTTCATTTTCACCTATTTTCCTCTTATAATTAGAACAAAATATACTTAGAGCAGCCAGAAGGAAGCTCTTTCGACTCTGTATATCTTTTATATTCTAGTAGCATAGTGTCCCGGCACGTGGGCCGCGACTCTCAAACTCTTCGACTGGTTTCATTCATTAATTTGATGCCAGTTGCTGCGCTGTCGCTGTCGCTGCTTGTAGTTCTGCCGCTGTTGCTGACTCAATGGTGGGATTTTACAGTTAATACCGCTTCGGTGGACTGACGCCATTGCCACGCGCAGGCCTGATAGCTCCTAACCGACCCGATCCGATCCGATCCGATCCCATACGATGCGATCCGATTACCCCTACAGCCGAAGCCACCGAAGTGTGTGCAACGGTAAATGCGAGATGGCCCCAAGAAAGGCAATACAATACCCCAGCACACACACACAGAGACAGTCACATACACACAAATAAGTTCACTCTCCCCCGCAGATCACGCGACAAGTGCTCGACCCCCCGTCAATGACTCACCTAGAGGCGCCGTCAAATGTCTAGCGGAACGTGCCGCCTGGCATGAGGTGGGTCATGGCTTCGTATGTATTTTTCCCGCTCTTACCGGGAAATTCCATGCCAGAGGTGCACGATGAGGCCTACACGGCGGGGGCCAGCTCCCTTTTGGGAGTTTCAGCAATTCAATAAGTCAGAAGTCAGAAGAGAGAAGTGTGTCATTAAATAGTTTCATTTATTATTATGATGCTACATACTCATACAAAAAAAAAAGAGTCATAAAGAGCTAAGTGTATACATAGTTGATCGAGCCTGCGAGGCTATGGTTGGGTATGTGTGCATATGGAAGTGGCGTACATAAATTAAGCGATATAAATAATAATGGATATGCGTGGATTACATATAAATACAATAAATATAATAAATTATTAACGTAGGATAAAGTGGGTGGCAGATGGGGGTTTAGTGGCTTTCTTTTAGCAGCTTGAAAATAGACTTATATGGCATAATGGTGGGGTGATCTCATTTTAGATGCAGGGACTGATGGTGGCGGTTGCTTTTTGGTATTCTTTCATGCTTGGAACTTTGAGAAGGAGATGATCCAGTGGGGGCTGCGGAATGCTTTCCCGAATCCTAGTGGATCTCTTCCTCGTCACGCTGCTTTTCCAGCAGCACCTTGTACTTCTGCTGGACCACGGTCAGCAGCTTGATGGCCTCCAGTGCCACGCCGAACTTGTGGTCTGGGTAGGAGCCTGTGTAGGTGTAGCTGGACATACTGCAGGGCTGGCCATTCATGGCCGTTTCTGCCATGTAAAGGTTGTGGCTCAGCTTTTCAATGATATGCACAAAGGTGCAGTTATAGCTGCTGTGCCCCTTGGTGACGCTCAACATCAGGTGGCGCACAATCATCAGGGCGTCTGCAATCTTGGGCAGCTCCTCGCTAACCTCACCCACTTCGGCCTGATTCTGGTAGATGAACCTCTCGTTGTCATTGTCGAACTTAACCTTTTCGGTCTCCTCGTGCAGCGGATGCGTCAGGTTGAGGCTGTGCAAGGAGTAGCGGTCTATCGCGCCATTCAATGTGACACCATCCTCATTCCAATAGTAATCCAACTAAAGAGACCCAAAAAATAAGCTTTCGCTCGGAAAACACGCACAAATCTCGACTTACCCACTGGCCAATCAGGCAGATGATGGCATCCATGGTCCGCTCGGCCACTTTCTTGGCATTGTCCAGACTTAGCCGCGTTGACATGGCGCTCTTGTGGTACTGGCACAACAATGTCGACGTTGCTTCGGGCGTCACTTTGGTGATGTTCTTCTTCAGATCCAATGACTGATGGTCCGCCGAGCGCTGGTGCACGTGGTGACGATGTGGCAGTATAAGGTGGCGACCACTGAGACGACGCGGCGCTGCCGATGTCCCCGTGGGCCAGCTCGAGGCGACTGTGAGCAGCAGCAGGACACCGAGGAGCCAGTACTTGACGGTAGCTGCAAAGGGAAATGGGGAACGAAATCAGTAAGGAGTGGAATATAAATGGGGTTTTTTCTAGAGGCCTATTATCTGTTCCCATTACAGATAGAAGCACAGGTATGCTACGGTTGCAGATACACACAGATATCCAGTACGGTCTGGCGGGGTTTTATGACGATCGTGATTCAGAGTAGATGAGGAAACACTCACACATTCGGTGAAACCGCACTGCACTTGACGCCACATGGTGGAGGGGCGGCTGTTTAGAGCACTGCTGGGGTTCTGTGTCCTGTGTTGAGAGTCTATCCTCGATCTGGCCTGCACTGGCACTGAGATTGTAGCTGAAAGTGGCCATTTTGGGCGCACACACGATGGGCAGCAGAGACGATAAGCAGGTGACAGACAGAGTTTTTTGGGGCTGTGCAGTTGCACTGGCAGATGAACTGTTTCCCGAATTACACTGGGTCTTGGGTTGAGCAATTTCGTAACGTTAGCTTGGGACTTGGGACTAAGAGCTGATGCTGATGCTGATGCTGAGGCTGAGGGCCGTGTATCGAACTTATGTACTTGGCTCAACGAAATCTTTGAGTTAATGAAGAGTTTAAGGCACACGCGTTGCAATTTATACGAGTCAAATTAGCATTATCGTCGCACGAAGCAAGCCGAGCGCGTGGCCGAGCCGCACGCACACACTCTCATCGATCATTCGGCGCACAGCGTCCAGCAGCAACGTCTTCAACAAGCCCCAGATGACGGCAAAGCTTTCGCGCTTGCGCTTGTAATCGCCAGCCAATGGCAAGGCACACAAACAAAATTGCCTTCACACACATATACACACACATACTTTACACCATACACCCATACACACAAAACTCACACAGAAAAAGGGCTACATAGAATGAATGAATGTGATAAACTATTCGGGGATTGATCTACTCCAGCAGCAGCAGCAGCAGCAGGGCAATGCCGTTTTCCCACATGGTCTACTGTGGGGCCTGACTCACAAATCGCTGGAATCATAATCACAATCACATTATTCCCCGGCCAGTTGCACATATTTTCCCCTTGTTCTTGGTTTTTTTTGTTGTTTTCGCTGGTTTCTTCCTGTCTTGCTGGCCAGTGTGGACTCTGGAGGACGGAGTGGGACAGTGGGAGAGTGTTTGTGTGCGACAGTAATTTATGCACGGAAGCTTCTTGGCCCAAAACGGATGTCAGATTGAATTCTTGGCCAGGGTATTAGAGGGGCCAAACATCGGCAGTGGCAATGCACAATCAATGAACCCATGAACAGAGCGAAAAAACAATTGAGAATCACTTGTTACAAGACAAGACAACCGATTCGTGGATGATCAATCCATGATTAAGTGGCAGCACCCGCTCCAGCTGTAGAGTTAATGAACGGAGAACAAAAATTCGCGGCTGGTGGAGGATCAATTGTGGCACTTGTTGATATTATTGCTGGTGTTTCGCTGTCGCTGTCGCTGTCGCGGTTCGTGTTGTATGTTACTAATGTTGGTGTTGCTTGCCTTGACCGCGACGCGTCGTTCCGTAGGCATTTCCGATCGGATCGCTAAGAACGTGAGCGCAATGGAAACTGAAAGCCGCCGAACGGGCGGCCTACAAAGAGCCAGACATTGGCCAAGGCAACTGGAGAGGCAATAGCATGAAAATATAAGAGACATTCCCTCACAACAAAAACTGGTGGCAAGCCGTCTCTTTCGCGATCTTCACCCACTCTTTGACGACTACACACATAACAGGGACCGGAGCCTAGTAGATACTCGAGGAGTTACTCATACGCATCGGTGACACGCGTCAATGCAGCATTTGGCAGTTGAACAAAAAACACTCGGCAGCAACGCCGTTGGCCCCCAGGGAGTACTAACCATTGACGGGGGTAAAGCCTGCTGCCAGAGAGATTTCCCTGCCGAATTGCGTACTCGACTTGCGGCTCCGACCTATGGCGACTTCCGTTTCATGCAGAGGGGCAAATTCCTTGTAGCGCCTGACGCAAAGGAGGCACTCAATGGGGCATTTGGGTAGACCCAGATTCCAGATTCCAGATTTCTTCCAGATATTCTGGGTTTGCTTGAAAATACTTTTCGAGGGTTTTTCTCGCCCTGTTGGGCATTTTATAATGGATCCGTTTCCCAAAATCGTTACTTGCCAATGCAAATTCTACTTCCAGCCCCTGGCTTACTTTATGTTTGCTCAAGGGAATACTCTTCTCTTTAATTGATTAAAGTGTATATGCTTTGGTTTTCCATTCTTTGGCAGGGCTTAGCGCCTTACAACTTGAGAGGTATTCGAATCTGCACTACTTTGTGGTCTGTTATTTGTCACACTTGATGAGGTGCGACCCTTAACGAAGTTCCGTCTTAGCTTAGTGCTTCCCTATTTAGAAATGAACACCAATGGACGAGTACTTCCAGAGTGACGTGTCACGCATCCGCATCTCGCAGTATCAATCAAAACAAAAATAGCAGCAGCAGAGCAGAGCGGAGCGGAGCGGAGCTAAACGGAAACCTCACTGAGGTTTATCTCAAGCAGGAACGAAGCTGTAATAGCTCATTCATCGGTCCATGCCGAGCCAGACTACGGGTCGTCATCATGCCGAGCAAACTGCACCGATGCAACCGCAACGCAAGCGGATGTGACGTGTGCCACGCCAATGGAATCGAATCAATAGAGTGCCAGAATGCTACTGTTACACACGCGACTGGCAATGAGGAATTATCATTATCGAGCATTGAAAGGATGGATTGGGGACTCATAACTTCATACCTTACAAGAAAATGCCCAGCGGACGATAGTTTCAATTGCTGTGATGGCTGCAACATACATAAATATAGCATACAAAACGCTGATACTCCTTCCAATGTTGAACTTGAGACGTCACGGGCCCAGTTCACGAGTATTTTCTTGACAGAGTCGCCGCTGATTGTATGAAAATAAACCATGACGCCAGGGCTTATAGCCGTAAAACTTAGAGTCTCGCTTCGAGAAAGTACACCGCGGTGTAAAGAGCAAACTTCAATTGTCGTCACCTGTGGTCCCGGTGTCCGGTGCGCGGTGCCTCACAACCAGTCTAACTGACCACAGACACTTGATTCTGGCTGTAAGTCGATTTTTAGGCAGGTATTAGGGTAAACCACCGAGCAACGAGCAACGAGCAAAGCCAAAGCCTCCTTTTGTTTGCCTTTCTGTTTAGATGCTCTCCCTCTCTCTCTCTCTCTCTCTTTGCGACGGATGCACGGTGGCCCCACTGCGTCATCGCCCATTCATGGGCAGAGATTAGACTGAATCGTTTCAAGGGGGCACACTCATTTGTTTGGGCAGCGCATTATGAATGAACGGACTGGTACTGGGACTGGGATTGGGACTGGGACTGGGAAGCACCTGTTGCTTGGCTCTTGCTTCAGTTTTCGCCACTAGGCGAATAGGCAAGCCAAACAATGGTAATGAGCCTGCAGCCGGGTCTGGCCAAAGATGAGGGCAGTGCTATTTTTGGCACTGTCGATCCCATTCTCCCGAGTCATCATGGGGAGGCCCAAAACCGAACATTGAAACAAGAATTGTGGCGCTCGCAAGCAAACATTGCACGCAATGGACGAAATTGAGATGGAGATGGAAATGGGGCTCGAGGTGCGATGTCAGGTGTGACGCACTTGGGCTTCCACCGAACCGTTCTTTAATCGCTTTCAGTTCCTGTTCACACTAAGCATACGCCACGTGGTACATAGGTCAGGTATAGGTACAAGAAATGCTAACTCACCTCAGGGCAGTCAATGGCAATTGAAGACGTCACCAAGCTGGCGATGGCACGGACACAGGCACAGATCCAAAGCTAGTGCTGAAAGAGAAAAGGGGCAAATCTGTGGTAATAATAGTCGAAAATTGGGCATTGCTTTAGCTTTAGCCACGACCGATTACACTGCCCGACACGATTTTTCCTCAAGAAACCAATCGAATTTTCCAGAGTATTTAAAGTCAGAATTTCGTAAAATAAAACAGCAGAAAAATCATCACTTTTGCATTTGAAAGCTGAATATTTCCCAGACGGTAAGCTAAAACCACAAAGTGGTTTTTAGCTGCAATTTTAAGATACTTCAATTAGTATTTCATAATAGCAAAGTTCTTTACAACAAAAAAAACCCCGCTATCTGTGAAAAAAACGTAATAAAACAAGTACCAGTTTTGAAAAATTCTTCAAAAGAAAATTATCTATAAAAAACAAACCATAATTAAAAAAAATGGAATGCCCCAAATCTATCAGAAAAAGTAGGTTTAATTGCTTGACGAAAAAAAGTTAGTCTTTTCCTAGACTCGGACTTTTATGATATTTATTTAAATTTTAAAATAAGGCCAACGGAAAAATAGCAAAGACAATTTAAATAGTTTTCTACACAATAACAACGCGACAAAATACGAGTATGAATGTATTTACATGACACTGACATGAAGCTGTTTTCTACACGGAGTTAAAAAGCTTCGGCCGAGCTTTTTTCACACGATCTCGAATGTTTCGTGCGTTCGTCGTCAGGTGTCGCCATGGAGACATGTAAATTGGCCGTTTGGGTGGTACACGTTCGGGGAGGTTCATCCGGGCGTGGCAGCTAGGTATTTGGATCTGTCAAATTCTGCTTTATCAGCCATGAATCACCGACTAATGGTGACAACCGAATGCAATGACTTGTTCCCATCGTATTTCCCCCCCCAGCCCAGCGGCACATCTGTGGGCCTTTGATTTATTTGTAGAGCTCTGCAAGATATGGAATCACACACATCATTGTCAGCAGTATTGGCATGACGACTGCAGAGCCATAACAACAACAGTCATCGACGTGCGCCGCCGGCACCTGTCTCTGTGGGATGTTCCGGAAAACGGTAATATTGAAGCCGTCGAAAGAATCTAATTGGGACTGACTTTATTTGTATGCCATTATATTATACCAAATGGATCAATTAAATGAAGGAAAGGAATATAGCAACTACTGAATGATATTCTCTCTTATTCAGATAAACATTTATACATGTACAAACATAAATGCTGCTTGGATACTCTACACAAAGAGGTCGTCGACCTTTCTGCTTTTAAATTTGTATAGAGTGACAAAGGAAAACCCCTTTTTTGAAACGGGCCAGTACGCTCTGGATAATTCTTGGAACACCCCACCAATACATTCCTTTCTCTTTCCTACATACTTTGACATGCTCTCTTTTCGCCTGGCCGCATCTGACTTTTGCTCATTAAAACACTTGGCTGCCCTGTGCCGCCGACGATATTGGTGTTTGTGGAATATGTTAACTCACCTTGACAGCTGGTAAGTCGTCTACAATCGCGTCACGTGATGAATGCCTTATCTGTGTAAGCAACAGGTCTACCCACGGTTATTAAAGAACGACAGAAACTCACGAAAAAATCCCCGAACGCCGAGGGCTTTTTGGCTTGAACTTTTGGTACAAAGAGGCGGCGGCACAGATGAGGTGTCCAACCGGCGAGGTCGAGAGATGAAACAATACTGAACCGAGTCGACCGGCAGCTCATCATCAGTTTGCTTACCCCCAGCAGGCACTCATTGTCAGCACCTTCATATGTATGTACATCATATCTGGTTAGTTCTTATGAGGATGAAATACATATGTAGGTACATATGTAGATCCAATTTATGAGAAATGCATCTGATATGAAGATTTTCTGACAACAGGTTCGTGCACGTCATGATGATACAAAATATGTACACACATTCATACATACATGTGTATTTATATTCGTTTTTTACATTATACTCGTCTGGAGCATGTCTCGGCTGTATGGCAGGTTGGTGTGTGCCTTGGCTGTCAAGTTATTTGGTGCGTGTCTCTGCTATGTACGTTATGTGATGGCCCCCAAGGGGTTTTTTCTCTTCTTGCCACCCCTGTCTGGTGCAGAAAATGCATTTGCCTCTGACATTTGCACTTGGTACATGATTAGTTGCCACGAGCTAATTGTTCTTCCTCCTCCCGAACCAACCAGCCTTATGGCTGATTAGCTATTAACCGACGTTGCTCAGCCAAAACCCAGGCTCAGGTCCAAACATCTTACTGAACTTGGCCTGTTCCAGTGTGCGCCAATCGAAGCGTTAGAATTTCACGCTTGAACTGCACACTGAAATTTTTCTCTCCCCCAGTGGGCCCAGCCAGTCCAGCCAGGCTGCCTCCTGTCCAGGTGAGAGTGGAAGTAGATGTGGATGTGCAGGCGGATGTTCATCTGGTTGGGTCACCGCTGGCTGTCTGTCTGTGGGGCCAAGTCAACCATTGCATAAAGCGCATTAAAGCGCATTTAATGCCTCTGCCATCGCCACTTGCCCCACCACCCAGGGCCAGCCCGGCTGGATGGGTCTCCATACCGATTGCCCAAATCTCGTTGCATACTTCAAGGCGAGGGACTGCGAATGGGCTTGCAGAGATTTTTGATTTATGATTCGCTTTCAGGGAGCTGCTGCCTTTGGCATATTTAACCATTAATCATGGAAATGCACTCGCCCTTGCACTTGAATTCCCATTCTTCCAGAGCTAGAAACAAACCAGCTTCAATCTGTACACATAAACTATTTATTTTAGTATATATCAATATATATATATATATATATGTATATAAGTGTATATATAGGTGTATATTCTTGGTATTGTTTGGTGTAGTAAAGTACTCTCTCGCCTGGTGCACCAATTTCTCCTCCTCCTCCTGCTCCTTCTCTTCTGCTCCTCCAAATGTCCCTCACGATCCACTGCTGCGAGATGCCTTCGGCCGTGGGATGGGCGTCCAGGAGTTGGATAGCTTCTGCATGCACTATCTGCAGAATATACACACATTTTATCTATATATGAAGTGATTCACTGAATTATATAAGGTTGAGTGTGTTTTCTTGCCTTTGTTTCCTATTGTTCCTTAGCTTGACTTCGTTATGTGTCGTCAGATGATTGTTCGTACTTTCGGTTGCTTTTTGAAAATCGACTAAACTTAATCCCGATCTGATTTGTTATCCTGTGATCGATCCTCTCTCGCCACATTCTATGTACAGACGTGTTCCAGGGAGTGATCCCCGGGCTCTCCTCAGGTATTTACACAAGATATAGAAGAAATATCCCTCGATCCATCTTCTTTCCTGCTTATAATCACTAGACTATGCGTAGTTTTCCCCCAATCTTCCACCTAGGGCGATAAGCCCAACAGAAAGGCTAAAATAAAGAGTTATTAAAATAATAGATCATGCTTTCTCCCCTTCTACCTTAACCGACTCTAAAAATTGTATATATGTATATACAATCGTGTCTCTGACTGTACCGCACACAGAAGTCTGTGTGGAAATATTTAGGTATCTTTGGGTTTTCATTTTCATTTTGTTTTTGTTTTTGTTTTTGTGTGGAATTCTGTGGAATTCTGTGGACTTCAGTTAGCACTGCTAAAGTACTTTAGTCGGTGGTAACTGCATTCTCGGATGTAGTCTTTGGTTGTTCACACAAACATACTGTGGATAAACATTATTAACAATTGAACAACGGTAATTACAATTGCACGACATCAACAACGGCAACATATCAGATCATCAGCAACAATATCACCGAACATCGGAGTTGGAGAAGTGGATACAGGGTCGCAGGAGTAATACAATTGCATAGCTGGCTCCTCCACGGCCCTGTTCCACTTCGATGCTGTGTCAGTCCGTTCCACTCCCACTCCCAATCAGTTTGATTCAGTGCCAAACCACCCCATCCCGTTCCACCGTTCCACCGTTCCACCGTTCCCCCGTTCTGGTCCGATGGTATTACTGCTGATGATGCTGATGAACTTGGACTTAATGTATATTGTATAATGCATTATTATCTTATTATCTTGATACAATTACGAGTATTGTAGAGACACATATACCGGTGTTTTCATATACATAAGTATGTATTTATCTATGCACATTCAATGCTAAATCAATCGAAAAAAAATTACACCCATATGGTGCTATCGTACATAGAATATGGTATGTATCGTATATAGAGTATACATATATACAACTATCAAAAATAGGACAAATAGAACTGGAGAGTTGCTTTGGCTTCATTTGACATTCAATTCTTTTTAGTTTTAATTTAGTTTTTTTTTATTTTAGATTAGCTCTTCATCTCTGCAGAGTTAGTTTTAGTTTAGTTATCCCGACGTCGCCCTAAGCCATTCTCTTTATTATTATTTGTTTTTGTTTTTGGTTTTGCTAATTTGCTTTTACGAGTATGTATACACATTGATTGTAACACAAGTAGAATGAAGATTGGATAGAGCAACGCGAACAACAGTTAGGAAGATGAGCAAAAAACATGGACTGCGACCAAGAAGGATCGCACTGACTTGTAAATAGTTGAGATACTTTCATATGTCCATATGTATATGTAGATATATAATATATGTATATGTATATGTATATGTATATGTATATGTATATGTTTATGTATATGTATATGTATATGTATATGTATATGCATATGTATGTTTGTCTCTATGTATGTACATAAATGTATAGATATCTGTATATTAATGGTTTTCTTTTGTTAGTTTTATAGATATAGATCGGTAAATATGTATATCTGTATATGTATTTGTATATGCTACTACTGTTCTCTCAACACACATTAAAAGTGAAAGTTAACTTTGGGTTACCGCATTGAGTTACGCACACATGGAAATCGAAGTCTAAAAACACATTCTGGGCACATCGAGATACATTTTGTTAAATAGTTTTCTTGTTTAGCTTTATCTGTATATCTTTAAATATGTATTTGTATAATAAGTATATTGGTATATGTATACTCATATGTAGTTGCATCCCGATTCGATCTGGAAGATGTATCCCCCCCCCCATCTACATGCCTACTCATTGTCCTCATCCTCATCATTTCTTTATCATCCCGCGGGATGTCATTGACCAAATTGACAAGGCCAAATGCCATATATAGAAACACACTTGATTGATTGCAATATTGACTGATTGTTTGTTTTTTTTTCTTCTAACCCCCCATCCCAGTCCATCCCCAAACTCTGTTTGCCAATGGCGGCTGCAAATTTTGCAATTTTTCAATTTGAGTTTTTTCGTTAATTAGTTTTCCACCTTCCAACCTGGGATGATTTTCTTCGTCTGCTTATTTTGCTGCTGCGGCTGCTGCTTCTGCTTCTGTTTGGTGTTCGCTTTAGCTTTGCTTTCAAATCGTAATACTTTAAATGTAACATTAAATATTCAACGCGAACATTAACAATTAACTTAGATTTTCGTTTCGCTTCGTTTCGATTCGATTTTGTTTGGGTATTTTTTGTTATTATTTGCCTTTGTGTAAGCTCAGATTGTACATACAAATTACATTTATTGTGTGGTTTACATTGATTAAAACTCTTGAGTCTGTAGACACTTATCGTTATTCGCTGCGGATATAAATATAATATGCTTGAGTATATTCTGAATATGGGTGGGCCTGTGTAGGTATTTATTGTTGTGTTATTGAGGGAACCATGGGAGCGCCTGCCCCTCAGATGAGTTTGTACAGTTTTGTCTCTGGGGTTCCCTTGTTGATTGTGTGTGATGCTTGTCTCGATTATAATTGAGGCTGCAACTACAGCTCAATAAATGTCTCGGTACAGCAAAAAAAGAAGAGGGACATTCCCAAAGGACTCTCCCAAATGCCAATGCATCGATACAACAAAAAAAGATCACTCCCTAGACACACGGGGTGATCGCTACGTCTCAACGACTGCCGCTTCTGTCCTTCTTTGGATCTATCAAAATTGGATCCCGCTTAAATTCCCTTTTCGTACAAAAATATGTTTACACTCTCTGTTACTCCGCTCTTCGTCCTCCTCTTCTTCGTCGCTTTGTCTTCCTCCAGCTCTAGGCCCAGGTCCAACACTTCCCTGCCGATTCTAGACTAGCCAGCTTCGATTTCGATTCGATTCGATTTCGGTTACAAATTGTATGCAAATTTATGAGAATAAATATTTAAATTATCTCTATCTGTATCTGTATATGTATCTTTATCTTTCTGAGGGTTGTACTACAGTTATTCTTGTCATGTTGGTTGTCCGATGAGGTCCGTCGTGGGTCTGCATTTGGTTGTGATCCTTCCCTGTTCCCTGAATTCATTACTTGTACTTTTCCCTATTTCCTCCCCAATTGTTTGTCCACAACCGAGCTCACTCGCCATGCTCTCGCCACTCGCCATTCGACCAATACCGTTATCGTTTACGTTACTTGTACCGTTACAGTTACTTGTACTCTTATTGCTCACCATTATACTCTGTTACCGCTAGGACTACTGTTACTGGGTTCCAGTGTGTACTGCGCTGCAGTGTTTTGAACTAACTGTACCGTGCTGTAGTTAGTAATCGCATTACTGTTTGCTGTGTGCTTGTACTGTGGCGTTTATTTTATTGCTACGTTTACCATTAGTCCCCCTGCTTATCCTACATTGACTAGAGCTTCTCTCACCGTTACTCGTTACTCGCTACTCGCTACTCGTTAGTGCGATTCATTTCATTCGTGGTTGCCGCTTGCATTACTTTTGTTGCATGTGTTTGTGTTTCTATTGCTTCATTTACTATTACTTGTACTTTGCTTTTCAGTTAGTTATACTTTTACCGTTTTTGCATTATTCGCTACTTTGCTTACTGTTAGTGTTGCTGCTAGTGTTAGTGTCCGTGTGACTGAGTTTGAGTCAGGTGTAATTAGTGTTTCAGGCACGGTTATGGTTCCAATTACTTATACACATCGCACTCCCCATTTCTATTACGATTGCACACGTTTTATCTCACATTTCTAGTCTCTCGTTCAGTTACTGTGTTAGTTGTCGTTAAATGTTACCGTACCACCATGACTGTTTGTCCGTTACAATGATTGATGTCTCGTTACTCTTGCTTGGTTGATATGTGTGTAATACATATGGTACCTATCCCAAGTAGTAATTTCCGGAAAGATGTCTGCTAGTAGAACTCATCGGTGCCAATAGTTCCGCTGCTCGTAATCTTGCTTATAAACTGTTCCAACTAGTTATGTTTTTGTTTTTGTATCTAGTATTTCGGTAGCTCTAAAATGTGATTTACTAACTGTGTTCAATAAAGTATTACAAATATTATTTGACTCTGCAAGAGAGTGTTTGCTGCGAGTTGCTGTTAATGGTATTCAAAGTGGGAATACGGGTCTCTTCCGCGACATTTAGATTGAAAATTGCGGTTACTCTTAGTTGGCTTGTTCGCTGCCGTTTGCTTTTGTCTGGCGTTGAAGTTCGCTTTAGCTGTCGGCTTCGGTTTCTTCTAATGGTTAACAAATGATACGAATATTTCCGGATCTCAGAGATACAAGTAGCTCGCTGCAAGGAGACAATAAAGCCGAGAGCCCCTACAAAATGGTTCCACACTTACCCTTTGCTGAACGGCCAGGATCTGTTTAGGGGTCAGTCCCAGAGCTTTACTTGCCTCTGCGTCCCCCGACCTATTTAACGAATAGATCCTTGAGTGTGGAGCACAGCGAAGCATCGCACGTGTCCTTCGAGTCGTCCTCCTCGCCCTTGCTAAACCAATTCAGTGTGGATCGCATGGCCCGTCCAGCCTGCGACTGTGCCCCACTGCCCACAGACGCCCGGCTGCGTCGAGCTCCGGCTGGACTGCTCGTGGCGCTGTTCGACTCCTTGGGCACAGCCCCGCGGGCAGCCGACGATGTGGAGGCTCCGCCCGAACTCCCTGCCCCCGGCATGCCGGCATTGGAGCCCTTGCGAAGGAAACCCTCGATCGCAGTTCCCAGCATTGTGGCGTCCACAATGTTCGCCTTGGTGGTGTCGGCCCAACTCTTTTGCTTGCTGCGAGGCTTGAGCTTCGGCTTGCCGGAGTCCCCGCCCAGCGGGTCCTTCTTCTGCAGTCGGTCCAGCATATCCTTCGAGAGTGCCATGGCCGTGCTCTTGCTGCGCACACTCTTCTTGCGGGCCATCGGCTGAGTGCGACTTGCCGGCTTGCCAAACCACCCGGATATGGCCGCCGAGCTGTTGTCCTGCGCCTCAGTCACCAGCTGCTTGGCATTGTTCAGGATCGAGACGTCAAAGCTATTGGATCGCGTGGAGCGGCCTGCATTTGGGTCCAGCAGCGAGCTGCTGCTTGCCACTGCCGCCTGTCCCCCAGTGTTGGCCGTGGGCGTGGGCGTGGCGCTGGTTGCGCGACCTCGCGCGGCATTTTGGAACGTTTGACTGAGGAAGGGGCTACTTCCAGCCGTTGCCGCTGAAGAGCTGGCACTGGCACTGGAGCTCCCCTCCGGCTCCGAGCGGTGCATGTCCATGGCCGAGCTGGTCAAAGAGCTAAAGATTCCAGCGATGTCCGTACGGCTACCCAGCAGGCCAACTCCGCTGCCCGACTTCTTACGCCGTGTCGAGGCCCTGGCCGATGACGGCGGCTGGGGCGAGATGCTCATCTGCGATGCAGACGCGTGTCCCTGTCCGTGTCCATGTGCTTGGCCGTGTGTCTGTGTCTGCGTCTGCGGCTGCGCCTGCGGCTGTGGATACTCCGAGGCCCGGCGAAAGCTGCTAGCCGGCTGCGGCTGGGGGCACTCCGAGAAGCGGCGATTGGTGTAGCGCCTGCCCGGTGCCGCTGTGCCGGCCTCGTCAACGGTCTGCACCTCGCAGACCTTCTCGTTGCTGGAGGTCCACAGCTTCAAGCGCGCCTTCCGCGACTGCAAGTAAATGTCATCCATAATGTCCAGCTGCAAGTTGTGAATGCTGCCGATGGGATCTGTCGAAGGAGGACCCGTGTTGCTCTCCCGCCGTGAGTTGAGCACGCGGCTGCTTCTGCAAGAACGAACAAACGAAAGGCATTCATTTATTTCCCACAAGTCTGTGGCTGTGGCGAGTCTTACCCATTGCTGCTGGGATAGGCGGCCACCGATTCGCGTCGCGAACGTCCAAACAGAGTTGTGGGCACCTTGGAGATGGTGACCACCGAGTGGCGGCGTCCAGACGGTGCCGGCGCTTGTGAGAGGGTGGCGAGAAAGGCGGCCTCCTTGGGCGATGGTCCGGAGCCCTCGCCGCCGCGCTCGGAGAGTCGCCGCACCTGACTGGCGGTGATTCCATCGGTCACCTGCTGCGAGGGCAGCGAGTGCTTGCGCGCCTCGCGCGGATCCCGCCATGGGGAGAGCAAATATGGGTTCACGGGTGAGTCAATGTCCAGACTGGCGCGATTCGAGAATGTTGTCTCCGAGCTATCCTCCAGTTCCTCCGGCAGGTTGGACTCCTCCACAACAATTAAAGGCTCCGGCTTACCGTGCACCTGCGGTGGCTGTGGCGTATTCTGATTGCCTCCAGAGCCAGAGTTGCCACCATAGCGGTTGAATTGCGAACCACGTAGGCGCAGCGCATCTAAAGATATCAGCAATCGTAGTACCCATTTCAGTGATTTAAAGGGTCTGCCACTTACCCATCTTAACAAATTCTCAAGTTGCCAGCCAGTGGAAAAAGTTCTTCTGATTTCCTGCTTACCTTTAAATAGAAGAGTTAACAAATGGAACATGGAATATAATCATATAATAGATTTATTATCGCAGTTTTTTATGACACAATTTTTGGATTAACAAACTCCCTTGTGGCCATTTTTGCATTATTTTTTTTAATTCTATCTGTATCGAGATCGGTTTCGGTTTCGGTTTCGGTTTCTTTTACTTGTATCTGTATTAATTTGTGTAATTTTGTGTGTTTGTGTTTAAGTTTTTCCTTCAAAATGTTGTTTTTGCTGGACTTTTTGGTGGACTTAGTTTGTGTTTTCTTACCATCTTCCTCTGGCGACGGCACAATTCTGGCCAGTTTCAGTTCTGGCTGAAGTGACGCGGACCAGACTTGTGCCGTTGCCAGAGGGAGATTCTAAGAAAACACACACCAAGCAACACAAAGCAACCAGTGTTGTGGTGTTGTGGGTGGCTCCTCATTGCGCCTTTTTGCAGCGCGGCTATCTTCATTCACCACCGTTTTCGGGACTTGCTAAAGTCGGGCAACTGAATCTTTGATTTATAGCCCCTTTTCTCAAGTTCCGCGCCAAATGCATATCCATCAAAGATGCCTATAATCGTTGACAACACCGCAATTATTGTTGTCCCCAATTTGAATCTTGAAATCGAGCCCTGGCTTGGAAATGGTGGATGCCATGGGGCCCTGAGTTTTATCCCAAATGGGAGGGAGGATTAAGGGATAGGAGGTAGATGGCTCCTTGCTGGGTTTCTGCAACAGTTTGGCATGAAAAGAGCTGTAAAATACAAAGAAAGTATCTTTCAGATATGTTTTATGCATCCTCTATTAAGTGCAGAAACTGTTTGGCATGGTTCTCTTTTCCCTGATTGTCACATGTAGTCTTTTGTAGTCTACAATTCAATTTCACACAGAACAGTTTTTGCAAGAAAATTGTGGATAATATTTTAATATAAATATATTCTTTAAATATAATTACCAACAATACTTCTTCTCTCCCTCTGCACCTGGTTCCTTCTGCTGGCTTCCATTTTGACGTGCCACGTAGTCGCGGTAGAAACTCCTCTGTGCTGCTAGAATATTCCATTTTGTCTGAATATGCTTTCCGGAATTTGTTTTTTATTGGTTTCTCTTACCTTTGGGTTGCCACTTGCTCGGCCATTCCAATATCCTCGAACGCCCACGGTATGCTTAATTTTTCACAATCTTATTGGTATTTTCGTCCATCTTGATTTTGTGCTTGAATCAAATGAAAATTAATGCAATGACAAGCGAAACGTGGCGATGAAAGAGGGTTGTCAACGTATCGATATTTATTCAAAATAAAAGTATATTTATATCGTGATATTTTGTTGTGATACTTTCAGATGCTTTATGTTATCACTTACCACAGAATCTAGATAAGTCATCTCTTACAAGCGAAACGTCAAAAATTTAAAAACAAAACCATAAAGTACCGATTAGCAGACTGAGTGATGAGAAAACTTGTATACCCGGCACTCAGTCGGTATATCTGTATCTTATTGTTATTTGTTTCCGAATTTGAACATTTTTTCTACATGCATATGCCGTCGGTAGCGTTTCGCTTGTAATTGCTGACTTATCTAGATTCTGTGGTTAGTGATATTGTGGTTAGTTACCAAACATAAAACGTCTGAAAGTATCACAAACACATTTCAATATATTGATACTTTGGTAATAGAAAACTATCACGATACAAAAATACTTTTATTTTGAACAAATATCGACATGTTGATATTTTGATATGTTTTTGACAACCCTAACTTTCATCGCCACATTTCGCTTGTCATTGAATTAATTTTCATTTGATTCAAGCACAAAATCAAGATGGACGAAAAGACCAATAAGATTGTGAAAAATTAAGCAACCCGTGGGCAAGTCGAGGATATTGGAATGGCCGAGCAAGTGGCAACCCAAAGGTAAGAGAAACAAATAAAAACCAAATTCCGGAAAGCATATTCAGACAAAATGGAATATTCTAGCAGCACAGAGGAGTTTCTACCGCGACTACGTGGCACGTCAAATTGGAAGCCAGCAGAAGGAACCAGGTGCAGAGGGAGAGAAGAAGTATTGTTGGTAATTAAAATAGTATCCACCATTTTCTTGCAAAAACTGTTGGGTGTGAAATTGAATTGTAGACTTCAAAAGACTACATGTGACAATCAGGGAAAAGAGAACCATGCCAAACAGTTTCTGCTCTTAATAGAGGATGCATAAAACATATCTGAAAGATCCTTTCTTTTTATTTTACAGCTCTTTTCATGCCAAACTGTTGCAGAAACCCAGCAAGGAGCCATCTACCTCCTATCCCTTAATCCTCCCTCCCATTTGGGATAAAACTCAGGGCCCCATGCCATCCACCATTTCCAAGCCAGGGCTCGATTTCAAGATTCAAATTGGGGACAACAATAATTGCGGTGTTGTCAACGATTATAGGCATCTTTGATGGATATGCATTTGGCGCGGAACTTGAGAAAAGGGGCTATAAATCAAAGATTCAGTTGCCCGACTTTAGCAAGTCCCGAAAACGGTGGTGAATGAAGATAGCCGCGCTGCAAAAAGGCGCAATGAGGAGCCACCCACAACACCACAACACTGGTTGCTTTGTGTTGCTTGGTGTGTGTTTTCTTAGAATCTTCCTCTGGCAACGGCACAAGTCTGGTCCGCGTCACTTCAGCCAGAACTGAAACTGGCCAGAATTGTGCCGTCGCCAGAGGAAGATGGTAAGAAAACACAAACTAAGTCCACCAAAAAGTCCAGCAAAAACAACATTTTGAAGGAAAAACTTAAACACAAACACACAAAATTGCACAAATTAATACAGATACAAGCAACAGAAACCGATTCAGATACAGATAGAAATAAAACCATTCAAAATATATATTCCACGAGTCTATGATATGGGATAGAGATACAGAAACAAATAAACACAAAATGGTTCCTTTACCTGGAAAATACACTTTTCTACCTTTTTTAATTAGTTTTAGTTTATTTCTCAGTTTTCTTTTGCGGAAATGGTGACAAAGAGAGAGATCAGTGCAGTGTTATGCCCCTTTCCACCAATATCCCAGACAAAGCACAGCTTTAGCACCCAACTACTGAATAATCCACACGTTTATCCCATTTGCTATTATTACCCCAATAATTCTTGTATGCTTAGATACTTTCTGTTTCAAGTACACATAAGAAAGTAATCATTTAATGATACTTTTTCATGCTCGTGCACTAAGAATTAGTAGTTCTAGTTGGCCTAGTACTCAGTACGCTTGCAGGGGTAATCATGTATAAAATCTTGAACTAAACTCAAATCTGGGCGAGACGTAGAGAGAGAGAGAGAGAGGGAGGGAGAGAGGTCGGAGATGCCACATCCGCAACAGGCGGATGCTTTGCGGTTGCCCCCGCTTATTACCGATGATGGGCCGGGATCCGGTTGCGGGTTCAGCCATTGGCAGCGCTCCTCCAGCTTGGCCTCAGGCGGCTGCTGCTGCTGCATTATATGCGGCAAATTCTGTTAAATAAGCAATTAATTAAAGACAGCCGAGGGTCAAAGAGTGTGGAGGGATAGCCGATGGGGAGAAGTCAGATATTATGAATGATAAATCATGCATGTTCTTCGCATTATTATTATCCAATGAATCCATGAATAATTTAATGCTCGAATAACAAAGGTTCGTGTGGCTCTGGCCAGGGGGGACAGAGAGGGCGTGCCCTTTCCATTTCGTTTAGTACCGATTAGAAAACAAACAAAACTGCTCATCGAATGCTCATCTTTCTTTAAATATACATTTCATAACCATCAGTCAACGTGATGCGAGTGCAAAGTGTCCCAAGACAATGGGTTTGGGTTTTTTCTGCCACTTTCCCACCCGTAACATATAAAATCCCGGAACGACCCCCAGATATTGGGCGGAAAATGACTGGATTGTCGATTTACTGGCAATAATTGGAAATTATTTTCCCGAATCAAAAATTATGATTTTGCGCTTGCAACGCGCTGCAAAGGAATTATTCTAGAACCTAGATTATGAGCATGAAGCTTTGTCCCAATTAAAGACAGTTCATGATTTGATGAGCTTTTCCGGGAAACTTTTGTTCATTGAATTGAGAATACGTATCGGCAATCGGGGGAAATTGATTTCCTGGAAAGTTATTTTTATGCATATACCGGAGAAAACGTTCATTGAAAGGGAGAACTGGCACCGCCTGCCATGCAGTGGCAGTGGCAACCAGTGACTGCTGCCTCTGCTTGTGGCAGGTTATTGTTTTTGATGCTGTTTCCAAGCTAATTAGTTTTGCACAGATTTGGCTGAAATTAGAGTTTGATGGGGGCATCGGGTATCTTTGGTTGCTGCACAGAGACTGGGAAAGGGATAATCATGCGATTGCATATAGTTCCCTGTCTCTCTCTCTCTCCAAATTGAATTAAATTGGAAAATTCCATTCAATCAGAGCTACGCACGCATCTCGACAACTTTTATGGCAAATCCCCCACTCACATTCCCCTCTGGTACGCCTTTGTACACGACTGCCACAGCTGCATTGTGTGTGTTGGGGCAGGCACAAAACAAAAGCTGACTAGGCCGAGAGCCTGGGGGGATTACCCTGGCAAAATATTATCTGAAGCTGTAGCTGTAGCTGTAGCTGGATCCTTTGTTCCAGCGAACGGACTTTGGGCTCGTCCAGACGTACGTACAATAAAAGAGTGCACTTGTTTCCCTGGAAACACTCCATTCCCTAGTCCGAGTCCGATTCCAAGTCCAAGTCCAAGTCCAAGTTCAGTTCTAGAATAGAGAGGCATTTTCTGGCTTTGTTCGGTGGCTCGTAAGCAGCTTATGTGCCCTGAGTCCTAGGGGCCCGTTCCAGGCCTTCTTTGCTGCATTTTAATTACCTTTCCAAATTCAATTAACAAACAGAGAGGGCAGAAAGATGCACAGACAGTCGGAGCATCTAATACTTTTCCTTTTCTGGTTTTCTCTGCGAAATTAAAATTGTATTTTAGCCA